GGGGTGCCGGCGGGGTGGGCAACGCCTCACCCGCTTCTCCTCAGTGTGTCCGGCTTTGCACTGAAAAGATTCGTAAATCGCACGCCTCGAGCGGAGTGAAGAGCCTGTTAAGAGATTCTTAAATTATTTAATAATTGCCATGAAAAAAAATTAAACTTTTCAGCTGCTGGATCATTCAGGCATTTCACTGTGAGCGCTGAACAGTACCCGTGTCCTGAGGGGGCTATAGACTCGGAACATTCACCAGGTCTATCTGCAGCTTTGCTTAATGCTACTTTATTCCTTAAAACTTCACAGAGCTCTGTTCCAAGCACATTAAATGTTCTGTCGGGTTTTTACGGGGGATCGGCACCCGCCCTGCTCCTGCCGGGAGCCGGCAGAGGGAGTCACGGCCCTCGGCTGCCGCCGCAGCACCAGCCCTGTCTGCTCTGCTTCTCGTTTCTAGGACATGGCATTGTAAAGCGTGGCCGAGAGCATGCTTTGGGAGCAGATTATATTTTCATGGAAAGGCAGGTACGCGTTTATGCAATTTTGGAAGGCGGAAGAACCCTTTTCTTAATTTGTAGTTGTTGCTCTATTACTCACTGCAAGCATGAGATGTTGAGTACATCTGTCTGTTCTGCAGAGTTCTGAGAAATGATTTTGTGATGATGTGGGCCCCTCACCCCAAAAAGGCCATTGAGTGACTCGAGCGTGGCCAGAGAAGGGCAACGGAGCTGGGGCAGGGTCTGGAGCACAGGTCTGCTGGGGAGCGGCTGGGGGAACTGGGGGGGTTCAGTCTGGAGAAGAGGAGGCTGAGGGGAGACCTCCTGGCCCTCTGCAACTCCCTGCCAGGAGGGGGCAGAGAGGGGGGATGAGTCTCTGGAGCCAAGGAGCCAGCGCCAGGCCCCGAGGGAATGGCCTCAAGCTGCCCAGGGCAGGGTCAGGCCGGCTCTGAGGAAGGATTTCTGTGCAGAAGGGGCTGTTGGGCGTTGGAATGGGCTGCCCAGGGCAGGGGGGGAGTCCCCATCCCTGGGGGGGTTGAAGAGTCGGGCTGAGCCAGCGCTGAGGGATCTGGGGGAGTTGGGAACGGTCAGTGCCAGGTTAACTGTTGGACTAGATGATCTTCACGGTCTTTTCCAACCTAGCTGATTCTGTGAATGCAACAGAGAGGGACAGATTTCAGCCTTTGCACAACTGCTGTGTTCAGGTTAATGTTGAGCTGAAAGATCTCAAGCATGATGGAGTCCCCCTGCTAGCATTGCACAGCAACCTCCCACCTCAGAGAAGTCACAATGCAAACAGAACCCAGAAGCTACCATCATCTCAATTTACAGGTAGCCTGTTCATTCTGAGGGGTCTGTTGTGCCGTATTTGCAAAAAATGACTCGCGCAGTTGGCTCTAGCAAGGTGTGTGCTCACACCTGCCATGACCACTGCTCTGCTTCACACTTCCACTGGCTTAGGCTGGGTCTCTTCATGTGAGGACATTAAAGACAGCACATGGCCAGATTTGGAAAGCCACACAGCGAAGCAAGCGCGGAGTTGGGCCTCACGTTCCCTCGAACAGTAGCTGCCACCACGGCCTGAGCGAGGAGCCTCGTGCAGAGGTCTCCTACAGAAGCAAGATATTACTGAGCAGCCTCACTCTTGCCAAGTTTCTTCCATGCCTCTCCAAATTTGGCATAGAAAAAACACTGGCTGGGGTAGCACCCTCCAAGGGTTGCTGAGACAGGGCTAATCCAAGATACACTAATTTTTCCACAACCAGCCTGGCACTGATTTTTAAAGCAGAATAAATGCCCCCAAACTATGCCCACATGTAACTGGTTTATCTGGTCCTTCCTCATAGCTTCCTGCGTGGTGTGACACACCACAGTGCACTGCCCCAAGAACTGCTTCTGCCACACTCTGCACAACTCCCAAGGTTCCTTTATGTCTTCTACAGCTGTTTATGCACCAGAGTTAATAAACTGACAACAGGGTTAGGGGTGGTTATACACACTTTGCAACGTCTGCGATGATAATGTGCGTGTCAGGGGATCTGTATCGTCTAATTCAATGCAGAGGAAGGGCTGGCTGTGTTTCTGCAGCATGCCCTGCTAGGAAAACATTGTGGCATCACACGAGCTGGGAAGGACATGAAAAAGTTGCTGTGTGCACAAAACGACTGTAGCTGTTACAACTAGGTCAGGTGAGAACATCAAGCTGCCTGCAAACACATGATTACAGACAGGCCTTTGAACTCTGATTTCTGTGGCTTTTTAGAGGTATAGGTGGAGTCCTTGGCCATAAAGTACGTGCTTTGTCACTTCACAGCCCAGGTCCAGGGATCTGTGCTTGGCTGAACACAGAAGCCCTGTGTACGGACACGGGAGCAGAGTTATGGCACTGCACAGCTATAAGGGAAAAAGATCAGGATTGTCTGGACTTCCTCTCAGCAAGATATTTGTTTTGCAACACGAATACCCATAATTTGAACGCTAACATACTGACGTCTGAGTTGTCCCCTGGTGCTCAACTCTGCAAGTCATGGGGGTAGGAAGGAAAGATTTGGAACTTTGCTGAACAAGCCAAAACCAAAAAACCTCTCAAGTTTGCAATGGAGACTTTTAATGGTGCCAACAGCTAGGAATGCCATTTCATCTTAAATCAAGGCTGCCATAGGAGAGCCAACAAAATCTGGAAATTAGAGCTATGCTTTTCATGGGTTTTGTATTACTCTGTTTTGAACAGAGCTGAGAGGAGCTTGGCATGAAGCCACTGTCCAAAACAATGCAGGGAAGCATATGTGGTTTGAGAATTACTCAATACCATTTGAGCTTTCAGTTTTTCCTGTCCTTCAATCCAAAAGGTATGAGGGTTCCAGGACTCAGTTTCCTCTACAGTAAGCAACTCTATGCAGTAGCACTCACTAAAATCCTTTACCACTGCAGTTTATGCATGCAGTACTGTGGCTTCCCTCTAGAAACTGCTTGAAATCAGTAAAAATGTAAATGGAAGAAATTAAAAAAAGATTAGACGATATCACTGGAATACATTACAGATAGTTTAATATTAGTATTTATATTAGCCATCATATTATTGCTAAAATTTAGCAGCAGCAGAATTTAGAGGAGCCACTTTGCTGTTACTGCACATCCAGAAACCACACAATGCCCAGCAGCAAAAGTTAGAGCTGTTGACATGTTAACAGATTTAGCCCAGAGCACAGCATCTATACACAAAGGACCCATCATTTCAATCCAAGCTTTGCCCTGAAATGGGGTCTGAAATGTATATATACACATGCTGGCCACCCATCTGAAATTAATTCACCTGCAGCTCTGCACACTTGGCAGTTTGTGCCATGGGATAATCCTCCAGACGACGGCACGGTGAAGCCTTGTGATGCATGTTGCTGGTGTAGGTAAATGTTTCTCCTTTCAGTGGAATCCCAGCTTACACTTCTGTACTGATGTTACCGCATGAAACTCTACGGCTGATCTAAAGAAAATCTAAGTTGATTGTTTTCTCAAGTGCTAACTCTATCTACAATTTTCCTGGCTTTCCAGAACACAGTGAATACATTCCTCCATCCTTCACTACTTCAGTAAAGGACTATAAAAACCTGAAAAAAAATTATATTGTTTACTGGGATTTAGTTCTGGTGGATTAGAAAGGGACTGAGAAAGAAATAATGGACAGACCATGTTATATTAGTGCAGACAATATCAACTTCATCAGTGTTGAAGAATAATAATAAAATGTTTTCTGTAAAGCTTCACATCATTCTAAATATATCTGAAAATAATGAAACTGCCTGCATGTAATCTGTTGAAATATGGCAGATGAATTTTACTTAGTAGCAAGCAATAAATATAAGAAGTGGTAAATTAGGACGTTAAACTTCTACAGAATTTTGGAAAACAAGCACAAAAAATTTGCTAGAATTATCTACAAAACTAGGAATTATACATTATTTCTCTGGCTTTTGGCATTGCTGGGTATCCTATCTATTTGAAAATGCTTGAAAGTAGTAACATAAATATTGCTTTTTGTTTAGAACAACAGAATTACTGGAGGCATTAGGCAGGCTGTCTATTTTAAGAACTCTGGAACAGAAAACATAAAAAGAGGATCGAAGGCTGATAAGAATTGCCAGAACTGTTGCTTAACTGTACTTTTCTCCTCTCTACTGAAATCCCAGTTCCCCAACAGTTGTAATTCAGGGATTGCTGGTATACTTCCATCTCTTCCCCCAGCCTGGGTCCTGAATATCCGATTGAAGGGGTGGAGTATCAGACTGCTGGAGAGAGCTTGGCTCTGCTTTACTCTGGGCTGAGCGTGAGATATCAGATATTGGCTCTTCATGCAGAAGTTCACTGTCAGAGTTCTTTGCAGAGCAAACTTCTTTCCTGAAATGTACACACAATTACTGTAAGCCGAGGGTGGCTGATCTGTTGAGCTGGTCAAGAGAAGTTCCCGTGCCAAGGCAACACCACGTGAGCAGTGAAAGGGCCATGCTGGCATGGGAGCTCGGGACAGTCCGAATCCCTGAGGAAAGGAGCTAGCAGGGACCGCCAATGCTGATGTCACCGAGCTGCCGTGGGTCCCCTCTGCACACCCAGCCCTGCACACTCATCTCAAAGTGGGGAACCATCCTCACCTCCTGCCCGGCAGCTGCTCCCAGCCCTCCCTGCCACGTCCATTCGAGGGAGATTGGCGAATATAAACTGTCACCTTCAGTCTTTGAAGTTTTTTCTACTGGGAGGAGAGTCCAGAAGGTCAATATCCTTGCATTAGACTATTCTGTACAATGTCAAGATAAGAGAGTTAAACAAGTTGTTCCATGAGCAGCAGAACCCTGTTTTCCTGCAGATTTACATGGATTTTTGCCTTCATTCTCACCTCCTTCAGCTATAGGACCCCAGCCTGGCGATATGCATAGGATTAGTCAAGGCTGGGCTCTTTCCCTAGGTGGGGCAAGTACTGGAATCTTCTACTCAGAACAAGGGCTCTTCCTGGAACTTGCAACCATCTGCCCTATTCAAACTTGGCTGTGACAGCCAGTGAGCTTAAAAATTATTGCAGAGTACTGACAGAAAGAGCATGTGCATAAACTTCAGTTCAGACAATCAAGCTAGCACTGTCCTTCATTTCCCTCATCAGCCCCAAGAGACCTGATGCAGTGACCTCTGGAAATAAAAAACTTGGAGCTTTTTGCTCTGCCCTGGCAGGGTCCTTGCTCTGTCAGAGAAATGGAAACAATTTAAAATGCAACTAAGTCATTCCCTGCCGCAAAACTCAGCTGGATGCCTTTCCAGCCTGCATACAAAGATGCCTTTCCCCAGACAGGAACACGGGACTCCAAGAAACAAATTGAATTATGGATCCATTGCAAGAAAAGGTGAGTACCTGTGAAAAACTGGAGAATTCAAAAGAGCATCTGCTCTGCCCTATTTCCTCAGCCACATGACAAGGTTTAAGTTACCGACAGGATAATTTAACAACGTGAAGGCTTAAATGTTCTAAAGCTAAATGTTCTACCTTCTGCTGTTCAGTTAGAGATTCTTCAGACCCTTGCACAGCAGGTTCTAGCTCATCTGGGTTTTGATGTTTGCCCAAAGCAGCCAGCACAGCATCATGAGGAGTTAGAAAGAACCTTTCTTTGGTGACCCAGCTGTCAAAAAAATCATTCTTCTCTAAGTCTGCTATCACAGCGGCTATTAAAAAAATGGGGGAAATTAAATAAAGCAGCAAAATCACACCAAGTACTACTGCTAAGACACTCAAGTTTAAAGCATATCCTTGGAGATAAGTCAATATTAGTAAACAAATACTATACCGTGACAGCCAGCTATGAGGGCTGTAATGCCAGTATTGTGAAACATGAATGATCTGTGCAAAGAACATGCAGGAATTAGAGCAGTTCTGCATTAAACAAGTGAACTAGAAGGTAAAACATAAACAGGGAAACAAAACCTCCCTTGTAGGGTTTTATCTCTGAAGAAAACCCTTATTCCACTATCTCAGATCCTGTTTTCTAATTCAGCCAAGTTGTCCGAGATGTTAATGAATGCTGACTCGAGCCAGGGCAGGTCACGGCCAGACCCCATGCTGGCCCTCCTGCAGTTCAGTTCACTACGCAGCACACAGCGCTATCTCTTCACTTAAACAAAAAGTTCTCACAGGAACAGACTAACATGAAACATCTCTCCATATGCAGATGCCATGCCCACGTGTAAACGAGAATGGGAACCCATATTTTCAAGTGTGACCTGTAATTCTAGTTGTCTCTATTTTCCTGTCCAACATTTTCAGATATATCAACTTAGTGTTAAAGGAATCAGATTTTAAAGGTGATAGATTCTCACCATTTTCTCAATGCCTAACCCTTTGTAACAAAAATATCTCAAAGTAGTTGTGTTTTGGGTTTTTTTTTTTTTGTTTGTTTGTTTTTAAAGGCAATGAAACTCATTATTTCAGAGAATCACAGAATTTCAGAATATGGGACTGGAAAGAATGTGGAGAAAACTTTGACTTTATCCCCCTTTCTCAATGGGAAGGTCATTCAGTGGGTGGCAAATAAATCTTCAAGGATTTTAAGGACAACAGCTCAGTCCACAATTATTCCCAATAGGTGTTAGTCTAACCTGTTATTAAACAAAAATCTTTTGAAGTTGAGCTATAGAGTTTGAGGGAGCTGATTAAGAATCCATCTGGAACTGTATCTTTCCAAGCAGCACAGCTACATGAAATTTATTTTTGCTAAATTTATATCTCCATTGGCTAGGATCCCCACTTGGAGATTTAAAAGTTCAAGGCATACTTCAAAGGAAAGGCTAATTAGGCAGTCAGCAATAACAAGAAAATCACTCTAGAAGACTGTGGGTAGTTTTATATCTAACACTTTTAAAGAGCATTTTTTTAAAGTGTCCAGCGAGAAGAAAAAATAAACAGCCAGAATGGAAAAAAAAATAGATGTTTTTATAAATGTGCTTTTAGTTTATATGACTCTAGAACTGGTGACAATGAATGACAGGTTTTTGCATGTCTTGTGTGTGGATAGTGGGGCTTTTGTTTTTTTAAAATGTCGTTTTATGGGAATTGATTAATTTCTGAAACGATAGCTCCCTTAGTCAACTGAAAGATGTGTGTATTGTTATGTAGCAAGGCATTTTTGGCTAACAAGAAACGTAAGCCATTGGGTAAACTTCAGGTTTCACATTTATGTGAGTTAGGTTAATTACCTGTTGCAGTAACACTGAACCTACCAAATCCACTAATTGCAACATGCTGAAGTCTAAAATAATGGTGTGAACTGGAGATGGCAAATGGATCAGCTGTTCCTCCTGATCTATCTGTACCGAGGAATTATCTATTGCAGAGCCTGGTGAAAGGCAACCTCTTTTCTCTTCATCTTTGTTCTTCTCAGTCCTAAGTCCCGTGTTAAAGCCTGGGGATGCATCCAGATCATCCCAGAGCTGAGTTTGTCTCCATGCTTTGACCAATGCACCAAATTAACTGAAGATGATGAGGACTTGCTGTCTGTGTGATGTTGCCTCACCAGTTTCTCTGTAGATGGTATCTAAGATGGAAAATGGAGAATACATCAGTGGATGGAAGAATTGGGCCCAGGAGGTGGAAAATATTTTTGCTGCAAGTAACACAGTACTGTAAATCATATGATATTTTTTCTCTCGTCGTAGAAAACATATGTGAAATAACACTAAATATAGCACGAAGCCACAAGAGTATGCAAAGTAGCAAGTGACTTAGGCAAGTCTCAGATGTGGTTGGCAGAGTGCCTTCAGCCACCAAATAGTACAGTGGTACCTCACTCTTCCACACCTGGACGTGGCCTGTGATACTGGAATCTGTTACTTCTACCTTTCAGAAAAGAAAAGAAGAAAAAAGATTGTCTACAGCCATCGCCTCTCTCAGCAGCCGACCCTTACTGGCTGAGTTCTGCAGAACTTTGATTCATCTACATTCTTGTATGGCAGCTGGTCACAGAAAGGACCAATTTAATCAATTTTTCTTTCTTAATAGTTCCCAATGTGTTCTTTATTTTTTATAACACAAGGAAGGAAAAGTCACTCTCCGCATTTTTGTACTTTAGAAGATAACGTTACGTTATCTATCACCTCAATGCCACATACGTTTTCCAAACCACTGTCAACCTATTTCTCATACACGGATTTTTACAACACACTTCTGAAGACAGTCCATTCCCTGAAGTCCCCTTCATATAGTGACTAAGACAATTCAGATAAAAAGGAACAAGAATGATTCTAGAAGATGCACAGCGGCCAATTATAGTAAAGATGAGAAATTCTCTAATCATGATAATCATAGTTGCCTTTGAGGTATTTTCTGCTTGAATTTGGCGGTATTGGCGGGAACAAATTCCTCAGAGGCAAGGGAATTCTCTCACTTCAGTGGGGAAAAAGAAGAAAATCCCTACCAAGGCACCTGACAAAAATAATTCTTTCAACCGAGGAGAAGATATGCTGAATACTTCAACTGCTGGTTAATTCACCCAGTAAGCTGAGCTACTATTGCTCTATCACATAAAGCATGTATAAAGAAATACAGTGGCAATGTTTGCTTATTTTCAAACAGCAAATACATATATATGCTTTATTTAACTTTTACAGCATTGTCCTCAGTAACATAAAACCAGGCACCTCAAACAAACAGCCTAGATAAATATACTTTCAAAGCTGACCCTAGGTCGTGGTGGAGGTGGATCACAGACACGAAAGCATTTAAGATCTTTTCCTTCCACTGCAGTGTCAGACAGACTAAGTGAACTTAAAGCCTTCATTTCATTTTCATCTAGAGGCACTGCTTTCATGTCCACCTGAAACAGAAAGGCAGTTTTATTAGGTTTTTATCTTGCCAATGCAGGCTCTTAGAAACTTCTGCTGACTGAAAAAGTGGCATTTACCTTGCATAGCAAGTAGGTTTTGAAGTGATTCATGTTTGCAAAAGAGATGGAAGAACAGCACTGGAAGATTTTGATACTTTCAATCTCCCTTGCCTGTAAAACAAAAGTTGTATCTGTGAGGGCTGTACCTCGCAGGAGCTATTTTTCCCCTCCTGACTGTCTAGGTTTAGTCTGCAAGGTCCTACCCTAAGGACAGAGTTTGTCCAGTCACATTGCTGACTACACTGCATACTGGTAGTGGCATTGGCAGCATGGACCTAATTACCATAATCTAATCTGCTTCTCTTGCAATTAAAAACATACCTCCAGCATATCTATCACAGATGGCAGCTGGCTGCTCTAATGTAAAATGTGATATTATTTTCGATGCTCATTACAGAAAACATACACTATACCTTTGTTTTACTAACCTTGTCCTTATATTATTCCATTTTTTTCCAATCCATCAGCATAGCACTGGGAAGGTACCCATGTGGCAAAGGCAAAGCTTTCTACTACTGCACTGCCTAACTGGTGCAGGACTTGAAAACAGTATGTTAAAAAGGCCCATGTCCTACCTATTTTCCCATCATCGGGAGAACCTATGAGTCAGTCTAGCACATGCACAGTTGTTATTGTGAAAACATATGTAGAGTGGACAAAACCAGACTGAGAAAAGCAGGTCAGCAAAAAATGCCAAACAGCTCTGGACGTGACAGCAGTGCAGCTCCCACTGTTGGACACGACTGCACAGGTTGACACAAGGATCTCCACGGGGCCTGGGCAGGCTGAGCCAGGTATCCGAATCACTTCACCACAGATACTTCAGCATTCTTCAGTTCTCAAAGTTTTGAATCAACTGAACTGAGTCTGAATGGTCCCCCCAGGCATTTAAGGGAAGGAGCTGGATTACAGAAAGAGATGGAACATTTGTTTTTTGTTTCCTCTTACAGCTCTGTAGACGGATAAACTTCTATAAATATTCATGTTTGGAATCTGTCCCAGCACCACCATCTTCATTCTGAAACAAGATGTTTATTAGGTTTTCACAGAGAACAGAGAAAAAACATTTGTTCCCAAAAGCTTCATCTCCATTTCCCTCCTCTTCACTGGATACACCAACTGTAACTTACAGGGTGTGAGTACAAAAAGTTATTCACTCATAATTAGGGTTCTTTGAGTGGGGGAGCAGTATACAAGCACAACCTTCAGCTACAGTGGTGTCCTCAAGAACGTATAATGTCCCATTTCTAGCTCTGGAACACTTGGATGATTGTTATTATGCTGGAGAGCACGTTCCCTCTCTGTCTCACCACAGCCCTTCTCAAAGATACATCTACACAGTCTGGCAGAGGCAGCAGTGACTTGTGCTTAGAGCTGGCTACACACATGGGAGGTCTGATCCAGAGCAGGGTTTTGCCTTGAGGGAGAATATCCTGGTTTGGGTACAGGGCTTTGCTAATGGTGCTGCATGGTTTTGGGACAGGTTCTGGTCAGTTCAGGGCATGGATGGAATAAACATGGGACTGGCTGGCTGGTTGCTGGAGAACTGGAAGGCAGCAGGCCCTGGTGTATGGAAAATTTTTGTCAAGACACTCTATTCAAAGCAATCTGTTTGCAGATAACTTCCCATGCTTTTTTGAATGTTGTTAGCATAATGCTCTCACTGGTAGGAAACTGATAAGCAGTTATATATCCTGAAGGTAGTACGGACAACAGGGACACTTCATTGAGAAGAGGCTGCAGAAAAGCCCTTTCACAATGCTCATTAAGTCCCAAGGCAAACCCAAGAACTTAACTCTGAGCAGAGGTAACACTGTGAGATTTGGACAGCAACCGAAATTCTTCCTGAAGGTATTCATTCTTTCAGAGCCACTCTGGACTAGATCACAAGTGGTTCGATATTTACAGCAACTGAGTTATTTCCTACCCCTTTCCACTTATTCTAGAGGCTTCAGTCTACTCAGACAAGCACCTCCCTATTATGGTAAATCTCATGGTGTATGGCTTGTATTTATGAATGATTTTCCTGTTTGGATTAGCTGCTAATAAACTGAGTAATGTGTGCCTGATGTAACCTCCCTCCCCTGTCACCAACTGAGTTTGCGGAGAAGATAAAGCAACTTGGTAAATGGCAGTAAAGACTGAGGAATGTATTTGAAATAAAGGCACAATATCTCATTTCATCCCTATAGAAGTGTGTGTACACATATCACCTCTCCTGGCTGATGCCTACCCCATAATAAGCTGTCTTCAGTAGCATGGTACACCTGCAGAAGGGACCAATCCAGAGTCCATAAACTCGAAGAGATTACTAGTTTGGGACAGCATTAGAGAGACTCCAGAATGACCCCACTGAAGTGTTTACAAACATGAAACACCTATTTAATTGTTGTACGTGTAACTATCTCTAAAGCATTGACTCTAAGAAAAACTAGTATTTTATTTTAAAAGTTACCAGTACCTGTGTGACCTAATGGTGATTATGAAGAACATAAATCCCATGGTGATCACTAAACCAACAAATCACTGTGGCAAAAGTTGCAAGCCAAATAACCTTTGAACAAGAGAGAGAGAGAACGTGAGCCATAAAAAGATGCAAAATGACCTCCAACTCAGCCCCAGCATTTGCAAACTGCAGACAATATAAAAGGCTAGAAATGGTAATATGTGAAAAGCTTTGCTGGCACATCTAGACCAACCCAGTCCTGGAAGTAGCCACAAACAAGGATCACAAATCGCAGTTCAAATCTCCAGACTTTTTAACAGGCCTTCAATTATCAGGAGAAACCACATCATATTGGGCGTCTTTATGAGAAATCCTGCACAAGAGTTGACATGAGAATGTGGCCTCAGCTGGCAGCTAGACAATGTCCTCCTTAAGGGATCTGGGAAGCAACAACAATAATTAGAACTAATTGAAAATTGATTTAAAAGAGATTTCAATACACTTGTTTCAGCGGCTATTTCAAAGGATCCCTTTTCTAAGGGAATGGCCACTGCTTTGCTGTGCCCTCTCAAATCATTGCTCCCTTTAAGAAACATTCCAAATCCTAGGTGGAGTTTTTTTGTCACTTACAAAATGATACTTATCCCGTCTCCACAGGATGGGTATGTCCAGAAATTTTTCAAGTAAAGGGATCATGTTAAATACCACAATAGCAGCCAGTATACCCTGTGCAAATCAGAAAAACAGCGTCTATTATTTTGTTACTTTTTGTTTGCAACCACAAACATGCTAAGGAACAGATACCCACCACAGACAAACTGCTTGAAATTAAAATCTTACAATAGCTTTATTTCCAGCATTTTTATAGCTACGTATAACAGTTCTCCTCTGATCTGCAAACCAACATGAAACTAGCGTGTCGCTTCTTGTTTGATTTCACAATCACTTCTGCCAATACAACTGGACTTCCTCTTGAACTGTTATGTGCAGTTTCCATTACAGCGTGCTTCAGTGAATGCCTGTGCCTCCTGCAGCACTAGGAGAAAGGCCAACACCATCTACAGAATTAAGAGCTGCTGTTTCAAAGAATGGTTTCAATTAGCATGGGTAGTTCGTTGCCAGATTTAGGAAGTTCTTTGACACCATTTGTTGAAATAGCCTCTTAGCAAAGAAAAGGAGACTGAAAGGAAGTAGATGGTTAAATTCTGTTTTGTCAGCTAGTTTTGGGAAAGGGATTAATTCTCCCATCTTACAAAGAGGCCAGGAAAAAAAATCAGGAAGTAATGCTCTGTCAGTGGTTCCCTACGAAAATTTACAGAAAAAAAAATTAAGAGAAAAGTGGAAAACTGAGTACTCTGAATAATCTATGATAACAAAATGTTTATGTTTATTGCACTGGTGATGCAAAATCCACAGAAGGCAGTTTAGGGATCCATATGGTTTCAAAATAAACCTCAAAGACCAAGCTGTTTAAATTATAGAGACTGGCAGTGAAATCTTAATCCAGTTTTAGCCAATGAATTTTAGCTCTTACTGATCAGTGAGACATGGCAGAAAGATGCAATATTCATTACCTAATACGTTAGCCTGCTGAATTTAGGAGAGTTTGAAGTAATTGTTTTGGTTTGGTCCATGCCTGAAAACAGTTAACTCTAGAGCATGATATAATCCCTAACTGTCCCAGAAAAATCTTGATATTATGCTTCAAAAAAACCTTCATTTTATGCTTAAGAAGTAAGTAGGCTGCTGCCATAACTATTTCAAGTTCACTTACATTAGGTATCATCTGGAAAAAGCGTCCTGGTTTCAGTGCCATCACCAGCTCCAATCGCTGCGGCTAACTGAACAGAAATACTTTATTAGAGAGGCCCCAGAGAACCATTTACTTCCTTGTCCTCTCTGAACAAGTAGCTGTGGCCCATGTAACACCACTGACTGGGACAAATAACCAGAGGACAATTAACAAAGGCCACAGTTATGCTGCAACTCATGGTACAAATTCTAGTATACTCAGGATGGAAGAGTTTTCTGTAGATATAAATTTGGCCTAAATGGACTATTCTTAGGCACAACAGAACAATGCAAGAAATTATTTTGGTTTGATAATTTCACCTGAGTAATAAGATACTTCTCTTGCAAGTCAGACTTCGAAATACACTCTTTATTAAACAAAATTATTTCTATGCTGCAGTGAAGCATACACAGACATTCAGTCAAGAGGTATTATAAAAATATTATTACATACATATTACACCCTCTTTGCCCACTGGAAAAAAAAATAAGATCGCGATATCAAATATTCAAGAGTTAGGAAGAAGTGGCAGAATTAAGGACACATGAACAATTTTCCATTTGGCTTTTCAGTATATTCATTAAAATAGTTTCAAACTGCATGAACAACATATCCTATTCTCCCCACGGGATCCTGGCTTCCTTCGTGGCACATCATGTGCTGTTAGTATAACATAGACAGAGAGGGTATCTGAATTCATGTTGTGTGGGCATGTAACCTCCTATTTCACAAATTGTTTAGATTAGATGTCAGCCTATACTCAGCATACAGTGATTTTAGATGAGAGCTTGGAAGCTTAAAAAAAATAATCCAGCCCAGCTCACCTGTGTTCTTCCACCTGTCCCCTCTTGAATGACAGTTCCAGAAATAGCACAGCTGACAACAAAGCTTTTGAAAAATGAGCTGCCAATATTGCATAGCCCCACAGCTACTAACTCCTGTAAAACAGAGACACAGAAGGAAGCACACCCCAAACGAATGACTTACCTTCACAGAAGTAGCTTCGCAGGAATTCCTTTCCTTTTGCTCACACTTACTGGTTTTTCATCTGTATTGCTAAGGTCAGGAAACCTCCTGGAAAGCAAGGTCTCTGGTGGTTAAATGAGCTCTCTTAAAAGGCATACAGTTTTCACAGCTGAGGATCTCATGGACCTAAAAACTCAGTTCCTTCCTTCAAAGAAATCCACTTAGAACCTCAAAGCTAAGAAGCACTGACTTTCAAGCTAATACATGGCAAATCTGAGTACATAGCAGAGTACACCTCGACTAAAGCTGAGTGGAAAAAACATTCCCGTTATATTTTATCCTCAGAGGCAGCTTCCTTACTGGCTCAGTTCCATTCCAGTAAAGATCCAAAGCCATCACAACAAGCTAAACATGGAGTAGTGCAAAACACCTAATGCTTACTAACTCCAGGACAGTTTTACTTACCAACTAACACAGTTTTAGCTTAAAAGCCTCTCAGAGCAATCACTCTGAGCAGAGAATCCATACACTGGGGTAGTAGCCACATACAGAAAAGAACTACAGCTGCTCTGGCCATTTACAAATTCAGATATTCATTTACCATGCTTTTATAGTCTCGTGGATTCATGACAGCAATGGTCCTCAGCGATCAGTTGCAGCACTCTGTGTGTGTGAGGTTCATCCCAATCACTGGGAACATACAAAGGCCTCCTGGTCAAAGGCGGCTGTGTTTTGGCCTCACATTATTGCCTTATAACATACACTTTCAATAGGAAAGGGTAACAAGTTGCTACAAAACCATCATCTGGCATATTCACTCTGTCCTTGCATTTCTACCACTGGCAGGTAGGTAGTGGCTTTGCAAGTCGAGTTTAGCTTGCTTCTTGGCCTAGGAAGTGTGTGTAGTTTTGTTCTCACCTGATTGCTGGCAATATTGTGAAGTGTATCTCTCCCCAGCAAAACCAAGAAGGAAAGAGCTTACAATAGCAATGGAGAAGGCATACGGTATGATCTTGCTCAGGTCTGATAAATCCGACAGTGTAGGAGGCACAAACCTACAGGAGAGCACAGGTAAGTTTAGGCCTGTTCTGAGCTCTGTCCACAATAACTCTGAACCCAGGATCATCATCAGAGGCATCCAGCACCCCACTGGAGATGCTCTCAAAAAAAAAATATCCAAATTCCTTCCTCTGTGTGCTAAGAAAACCTGAATCTAACACAGAAAACTGCAATTTGAATTCTGTATATTCTCAGAAATGATGATGTAATGAAAATTCTTGAAGAGTTATTCTTCTAGCTGTAAAAGTCAGCCCATGTCAGATTTCAAGGACAGGCTGAAACATCTCTTCCGTATCTCAAAAGTACAACCTCAAAACCAGCATTGAAAACTAACCTCTGAGGAATCTTACTGACCACAGCACTACTGATTCAGCATGATGATGACTGCAATTAGAAATAACGATGACTCCGATAATCTGGGAAAGAAAACAAGAAGCAATACCAGAGATTATACAACATTTGTTCCTGAAACTGTATACAATACATCTAAAGACAGTTAATCTTGCAGGAGTAAAGGACTTAACCACAGATTCAGTGTGTAAATATAACAGCATCTTGAACGAATATGTTACACATTCTTTGAAATAAAGCATATTATACTCTCTGTTAGTTCAATTATCACAATGGCATTTTGGAGATCACTTACCAAGAGAAGTTCCATAGGAAATGCAATAGGAGTAAGTTTATAAGTTATCATGACAGATGTATTGACTTGTAGTATGGCCATGCCAAGCAAAAATTGCAATATGCTGGTGGCATTAGCTTCTGGGAGAACCAGGAGGAAACGAAATAGATTCTGAAAAAAAAAAATAATCAGAAAGGATCAGAGTCAGATACTACAACTATTTCTGTATTCCAGGAGTCTGACATAGGTTGCCCTGACACTTGAACTCAACCTTTCTGCTATGGTGGTATCTTCAGTTAGAAGAGAGATGCTAAGAGAACAACAGTATTCAAAAAAAAAAAAAGTCTATCTCATCTATTGGTATCTGCATGGAAATCACTGCCACAAATAGCTCAGATCTAGTACTGTCATTCTCTCTTCTACACTACCTTTTTCTCAAGTTGTCTGATTGACATTACTAAAGTAAATTAGGATGAATTAGCTTTAACTTCTCTTTAGCTTGGAGTCTGCTGCTTCTTTGTCAGACAGGATAAAGCTCCTGTGCACCCAACAGCTTGCCCATGATGATCTATTGAGGAAAAAAGCACCTTTTCCTTTAACATTTGCTCTGCTACAATTGTAGGCATGTTGAAAATATAGTATAGCACTAAGTAATTAAAAATATACACACAGACTTTTCTTCTTGCATGTCAGACAATAAGCTCCATACATTATTCAAGACCACAGGAAGGCGAAGTAAACCACAGCTGAGACTTGCACAGATATCCCTTAGCAACTGACTTAGACTGAAATTGCCTTCAATTTCTGAAGCTGCTCTTTTCTTTCCCCTCCAAAAAGAATGTATTTTTCTGACTAACAATTAATTTACTCACATAGAAAATGCCCAGGGGGCCCTTATGGAAGTCAAGCATGACGTCAAAGATAAAGCTCAGCTGTGATACAATGACATACCATGCTGCTGCGGTGAGGTAAACACTGATGGCCCTTCGGCACGTATGTTGTTACAAACCCCAGGCAAAAGCAACCTAAGCAGCAAACAAGAAGCGAGATGTGATAAAATTATCCATGTCTAACCCTGTCCTTCTTGTTTCCATATTTGAAGAGCATGATTCTTCACTGCCATACATGATGGATAGTTATTTGAACATGCTCTTTTCATTATGCACAATTAAGTAAGACACTGCCAAACCAAAACAGGAGCACTTTACATCAAGTGTGTGCAGTTATGCAGGACTACCTAAGGGTCAACATTCTGCAGAACTGGTCAACGTAAATAATTTACTTTACACATATTAATCATAGACACATGAATCTTCACCTGTCATATCTTTTTTGGACAGCATAAGGGGAAGACAGACCTTCATGTCCCCCTTTGCACAACACGTATTCAAATGTGCTGTGCTTAGTATTTGTGGTAAGAATATGCAAGCAGTACCATTTCTTACACTTGTATGAAGAATGCATATAAGGATACATCATTAAGGATGTAAAACAGATTCATCTTCTACCTGAATGATGACAGTCAAAAATATTATTGACACAGTAAGCATCAAGACCTCCATGTACTCTTTTGTAAGTGCAGGGTCTGAGAAGTTGTCCAGTGAACCATTAGAGGAAAATGTTTGGTTCAAAGTAAGAGTCTTCAGAATGTCTATCACCACCATATTTAGGATGCTGAATGAACCTGGAACCAACAGAACAGAGAACAGAAAATGAAACTGCGTGAGATGTTACAACAGAGACTTATCTTAAAACCACACGTCCATCTCTTCCCCCCACCATGTCTGTGCAGTATGAGACAGTCTATTTTCATTCATATCAATAATCCACATATATAATTCATTTTTACTGTTTCAGTACCTAAACTTTTCAAAGTCCTGACTTAAAATTTCATATTCCTACTATTTTATGAGTGCAGTCTTCAGTTCATCAGATGAACAACAAAAAGATTGTTCATCAAACAAAAAGATTGCAATGAGCTGCCAGAAAGGCTGAAAAACACATTCAGGAAAGAACTGCCAATTTACCTGAGAGGCCAGAGCTCCACATACCCACTCATTATGATAATGTGAGGGCCTTCTCACAGGTAAACAGCATTTTAATAAGGCTGCCGAACACATTAAGAACGTAAACCCATCACCAGTTCAGTCATGGCAAGAACCTGCATGGAGAAAACCATGGAGAAGATCAGGAGCCAAATCATAATTCACAGTAAGATCCTGGAGGTGAATAGGAAGCAGCTTGCACCGGTCCTTTACATAGGGGATGCCTCCATGACACTCCAGCCTCTCCTTTGCCGTGCTGGCTCCTGTCCTCAGGGGTACAAAGCACCTCGCAGCTGAAACTTGACAGACTTGGTGAAAGTCTCACCATGGATCAGCTGCAGAAGTGGAACAACAATGAACTGAGAACCTGGGGGGGGGTCTGGATTCTGACCTAAGTAATATCTGCCTATTAGATGAAATAGGTAGGACATCTTGCCAGTTTTTTTTTGAAACAGCACTGAATAATCCCTAAATCTTGCAGGAACATTTTACAATACAAAATAAACCTCACCAATTGAGATATGATGTCAAGTCCCAAATACATCATCGAGCAGCAGAAAGCAGAAAGGAAGCCATTGATACTTGGCAGAAATAACCTGGTCAGCCAAACTCCTAAGTCTTGGAAAGCAAAAATCTGTTTCTAAAATCAAGCAGGCTGGGAAGGCTCTCTGTCTTTGATTACTATTTTAAAGTAAAATTTTGCTGATGAAAACCCAACAACCTTTATGAAAATCCCAGTTCAGGACCTGATAAAGTCAGGCCAGAAGCCAATGCTGTTTTACAACAACAGGCCCTTGCTAACTAGAAATTAGACAACAAACCAGAACAACTCTTCATTTAGGCCACCTACTAGCAGGGTGGCTATGCATTTGAGTATCTAACAGACCTGATTTTGCAAGGTGGATTTTAAAGCCCATGTTATTTTGTTTGTAATCTAGGAAAATGCTGATACTAGTTTACATTTTGAGTAGTGTCCTGTCCTTGAAATTATACCATGTAACATCTTATTATAGAAAAGAAGTGCTCTCCTGCAAATATGCAAATAAATAGGTTAATGATTTAAGGAATTTCCAAGGTTAAAGTTCCCACATAACCCGATGACATTAGAAAGAAGAGAAACACACACTGGAGATAGATGATGAAAAGCATGATATACAAAAGGAAGCCTAGAGTGTTTTTTTCTCTCTGCCTACCTTGAGGAATCTGAAACATCCCAACACTCAGGCCTGCATGTAGATCCCTCAGGATCCATTCTCTGAACTGATATGAAAACAGCCAGTTGAGGACAGGGAACATCTTGATTATGATCTTTCCAAACTTCCCCAGGAGAAGCTGAAAAGAATCAGATAAACTGAGCTATACGCAATGCCTTTTACAGTCTCCATCCCTGCAGTGCTTTTGCATGGCCTCATGCTCTGCAGGCACCGAAGCCACACACAGGCAATGGTTAGCCTGCTGCACATCCAGCTGGCACATAACATGAATCCTACACAGGCACCCCCCGTGCCTTTGCATTCCATTCAGATGAATCCCAAATACTCTGTGTGCCATTCACATGATAGCCTGTCAGCACCCGAGCCCAGAGTGCTGAATGCATCAATTACTTGACCTCATTAACACCGCAGACAAATAGGAGATGGTATTTTGATTCCTCCTATTCTGATCTAGAAGAAAAACAAACACACACTACATCTGGGGGGAAAAAAAAAATAGACAAACCTATCCCACTTCCCACAAAACAGTCAAATGTTTCCTGTATTACGTTATTTAATAAGGGGATGCAAGCAGGACTTGACCTACATTATTTATTTTGCACGTATGTTTTTGAATCAGAATTTCCAGTAGGTAAACTCTGACTAACCCCACGGCTCTGTGCTCCTTCTTTCCCTTTTTAATCCCTTGGCAAAGTTGGTGATTTTCTACTTACAAACCAAATGTAAGTGATGTAGTGTCTACCCAAGGCTTCTGGCAGCCCTGAACAGTGGCTGTGGGAACTGACCCCAGTTAACATCACAGAGCTGAGTCCCCTTCCATCATTTTATTGTCCCAGGTGATTACACACTGGGCTGTCAAGTGGACACAAAACTGGGAAGAGAGAAAACACATGAGATAGGGAAGTAGAAAAGAAACAGGGAAAAGAGTATGAGGAATCAAGGCAGAGATGGTTCTTAAATGGCGAGTTGGGGGAGGAAATAAAGAGATATTCTTATGAAGCATCAAGTGCAATAATAAAGTTTCCAATAATATTAGCTATGACTTTACAGCAAAATTCTCCCTTTGATCTCTGGGCAAGATTTATTTTACTGCACCAGGTGTTTCTGAGTGGACAGACTGTTAACTCTAGATCACATGTCATAATTACACACAATTCAACCCTTTCCATCAAGTAATTTTATTTTGCTGACTCCAGAACTTCATCCAATCTCCTTCTTACATTTTATTTTCTTTTAATATATAAAAAGACAATGCCGAAACATAAGGCTATTGCACAATCTAAAGGATCTCACTATTACAGAAATTAATCTTGATGACAGGTCTTCATGGTGAATGAAAACTAGAAAACACAATAGCTACTCAAACTATGGCTCCACTTGCCTTCACTTATCACCAGGAAATTGCTTTAGAGCAGCATAAGTTAGACATGACCTATAGTTTTAGGCTGCAGTCCCACACATAGCTGAGCTGATGTAAGAGGTAGTTATACAGAAAGAGAGAGGTCTGGCTCCCCTCCTTTCCTTTCCCTGTGTGGTCCTGTCCCTTCTGGCAGCAGCAAGCTGTTAGATTAGCTCACCACACCTTGTGGAACCTCACCCATAGCTAGACTTGAGTCTCAAGTCCTGCCATGGTCTCAAAAGAAGAGTTTAAGTTTCCGTAGACATTCAGTATACATGCTGAAACAAAGCCCAGATAAATTATGAATCAGATTTTGTATGTACTTTTTTAGGAGGACTTTGTAGAGTAGACATGGCCATAACCATTGACAGTCCACTCCAGATCCAAGAAGAGATCCAGAAAGAAAACTGAGATACTTATAAGTCAAACAAAACTAAAAGGGGAGCTGATGAACTGGCTTCCTATTTTTTTATTATACTTGCCTTGCTGGAAGGACACCAGAAATCATCCTATGCTGCCAAAAAAGACTGCCTTCTGGTGTGCCTGCAGGGCTCCTCTGGCAGAAGACATGCTTCTACTCCCAGTATAATGCCCAAAAGATAATTCCAGCACATGGGAAAAAGAGGCTGTGGAAGCATTAATGCTTTATCACTACCCTAGCCTCACCCATTCTCCTCAAAGAACATAAGAACATAGCTTCAAAATAATGCCAAAGCAGTTTGGTCATACTATTATGCAACTTCCCATGTCCTCAGCTAAGAGGGAACAGAAAAAGGCTCTTGAAATTTAAGAAATAAAAGTAGCAAAAGGCACAAATCAGAAAAAAAGCAAATGAAAGCCTGTGTCTGACAGCTGGGCTGAGGGAAGCGCTGGAGGGAACTACAACTATTGACGGTTTCTCGTTACAGGGCACATATCCCTCACGTGCTCATAGTCCTGAACAGACACTTCTTGCAGATTGCAAACAGCAACTTGGAGAGTGCACAGCTGAACTGACCTTGCACACTTCAGGTGAGTTGTTGCAACTGGGTGTTCTGCTTTAGTTACCAATCAGTGCAGTTCAGCATTTTAATTACCAGCTGTGGAAGAGTTAGCACTTTTTTTTTTTTTTTTTTAACACTTGTGCTTGAAGAGTCTCCTTAAGTTTCTTTACACCTGATAAATTCCTGGCATAGAACTCACCTGTATTGTAGCCATCTGTTCTCTTGATGGATCTGTACTGCTCCACCCAAGGTGGAGGACAGTTTTCTTTCAAAATATGCCTGGAAGTGCTCCTCAGTCTGCATTTCTCTTTGGACCTTGTAAGCTGCTGGTTGTCTGTAAGTACCAACAATATCATTGTGGAGCACCGTATTTTCCTTTTGACTACAGTCAGTCAAAAACAGTGGAACAGCAAATGCTGGAGACCACAATGAACACTCTCTCACTGGAAGAAACAAATACAGTCACAGGAGTATCTACTAAAACCAAAACAAAACATGACACATGATCAGTCCATCCCAACATCACTACTGTGAAGCCAGTAGTTACACTGGGGATAAGCAAGGCTCTGGAGAATGAAATCCATGAAAGACATGTGCTACTCTTAGGATCAAACAAATCAACTGCCAAATCAGTTGCAGGAACACTGGGTCCTTCTGGAACTTGCCTTATTACCCTGTAGGAAAGACCAGCCTGGACCCTCCATTTTGTGATCCCAAAAGCAGGCTGGTGTTTAGGGAACTAAATACAGTCCTGCTCCATAAACCTACCACAGCTGAGGAAACAGTTTGAATTCTCCTTGCTTCCAATCCTGGAGAAAAAAGGCTTAGTCTGGATCGTACAGAGAGGAGCTACATCTGAGGCTGTACAAATGCCATAACTTGCTGTATAAAATTGGTATCTGATACCATTCAGGTTTTCAAATCCCTAAAATGCCTGACTTGTGTTCCTCGCAATTTTAATGTCAGGAAGGAGATCTGAATTCAATCACTATCACTCAGAGTTAGTGAGATATGAATTCTCAAAGTAAATACTGAGTAAGTAAAGGTCCAGTGGAAGAGCAGATCTAAGGCAAAGTTCTCATACTGACAGCTGAGGAAAAAAAAAAATCAACTCCAGAGCTACCAAGTGAAAGTACATGTAAGAAGGGTGGCGACATACAGTAAGATAGTTTTTTGCTATAGGCAGAACAAAGAAAAGAGGAACTCTAAAAAAGTTGCAAATGAGCAGTGGAGAATCTATTCAGAATGCAATTTAAAATATCAAAACCTGCAAAAAATTAATTGGGATTAAGTTTTCTCCTCATATTTCATCACAATCAGTTTGTGCCAGTCTAGGGTTTTGCATCACTGAGATCTGCTACTTGTGATACAGCATCAGGGACTCCAGCACAGTATTAACTGTCTTGTGAGACATTATCTACCAACACGTACATGCATCCCAGTCACTCTAAACCAGAGAGAGCTAGCAGCAGGCAAGTCTCAGACACACTCCATCCCTAGGGCACAGTTTCTCCCTCTTTTTAAGAAGGAGATAAATCAAGGTCTTCCACAGATGACTTTCAGAGCCATTTTGGTCATAAGCTTTTCATATCCAGCACAAGCTTTTGGAGCCTTACCTGTCTCTAACACCTCTGAGCACAATCACCTCTTTTCAAGGCAAGGTGACACAACAAGTAAAACTAACTAGCAGCTAGAATCTGCAAATTAAAGGCATTAAAAACCCCAGCACTTTTTAGATTCAAGCAGTGGTAACTTTCAGCTGTTCCCTCCTGTTATTTGGACTTCAATGACTCACAGCCACAGAGGACAGGGTCCTACTCAAGTCTCACTCTGTGCAGAGAAAAAGGTTTTGACGTGGGAAGCGAGCTGTTTTAAAAGCAGGCTTCCATATTCCATTCAGAACGTGTCTGTCTTGCACAGTACTGCTACCAAGACTCATCTTCCTCAAGCTTAAGACTGAAGCCTAAGTGGCCCTGAACACAAATCCCTAACACTATTTACTTGCTGTGGCATTCCGTACTTACTACCTGGTGAAGACACTGTGGGCTCCACTCCAAAACGTGCTCAACCTGCAGCACTTAATGACTTCACCGAGTCTGAGGCATGCACTTGACAGCAAGCACATACATATCTTTGATACTGCAAGACCTATTACGGTATTGAGAAATAGTTTATTCTCCAAACACACAGAGAAGGATCAGGACACTGGGAAATCTGGGCTTCGCTCTCACCATCGCTCCTGGCTTGAAGCCCCTGTTAGGGAACAGCCTGTCCTTAGGAAGTTTACAAGAACAATTAATACTGGCTTGTAAAGCTTCAGAAGCTTTGTTTGCCCCCAGATACACCATGTCAGGCTGTTACCAGTGACCCTGGGCCTGCAGAAGTGCTGCCTCAGGCAAGTTTTTTCATCAGTTTTCCTTTTCACAGAATCACCTCGGTTGGAAAAGCCCTTGAAGCTCCTCCAGCCCAACCATGACCCCTCACCCTGACCGTTCCCAACTCCCCCAGATCCCTCAGCGCTGGCTCAGCCCGACTCTTCAACCCCTCCAGGGATCCTGGGGACTCCCCCCTGCCCTGGGCAGCCCATCCCAACGCCCAACAGCCCCTTCTGCACAGAAATCCTTCCTCAGAGCCAGCCTGACCCTGCCCTGGGCAGCTTGAGGCCATTCCCTCGGGGCCTGGCGCTGGGGCCTTGGCTCCAGAGACTCATCCCCCCTCTCTGCCCCCTCCTGGCAGGGAGTTGCCGAGGGCCAGGAGGTCTCCCCTCAGCCTCCTCTTCTCCAGACTGAACCCCCCCAGTTTCCCCAGCCGCTCCCCAGCAGACCTGTGCTCCAGACCCTGCCCCAGCTCCTCTCCGACCACACTTTGTTACTTTAAGCACGCCCTAAGGGCTGTC